AGCTGTTGTTGTTGCTGCACCACCATCAGCTGTATTACTCGAAGATGTGGAGAGAGTGTTGTTGGTGTGGCTTAACGTGAAACAATTACCGAGAAACGATTAACCCCGGAGGGTTTGCCCCCCAGGATATCCCAAGAAAGTCGGTGCATCATCGAGGACTGTCTAACTTATTTCCATTGTGGTCCTTAATCTTGTTCCCCAGGATGCGACCCACAACAGTCAACTAACACCCAGGTGAACAGGAAAAAATGCCTGGAACTATTGCTCATATTGGTGAGGTTAGTGGGAAGGATGTGGAAGAGTTGGTGGAGGAGGACAGTGAAGAACTAACCACTGATGAGCTGCTAGATCATTTTCAACAGCAAGAGGCCAGACCTGAGGAAACTGCTCCAGAGGAGGGGAGAGAGAAATTGAGGAAGTTGCCTACTTCAAAGGTTAAGGAAATGTGTGCAATGTGGCTTAAAGTGCAAACCTTTATGGATGAAAATCACCCTCACACAGCTATTGCAAGCCGTGCTGGTGACTATTACACTGACAATGTTGTGAAACACTTTAGGAAAGTCATAGAGGAACGAGAGATACAGGCCTCTCTGGACAGATATGTTGTGCGACAGAGGTCCAGTGACTCTCAAGCTGGTCCTAGTGGCATTAAAAGAAGAAAGGAAATAACCCCAGAAAAGGACTTGACACCTCAAGTCCTAATGGAAGGGGATTCCCCTTCTAAACACTAAGACCATCCACACTCTTCCCTCGTCCCATCCCATCAGTCATCACCAGATCTTCAATAAAGGTAAGTGTCATGTAACTGTGCATGTCTTCTTCAGTTTGTGTGTATTAAAATTAATATTTCATGTGATAAATTTTGTTTTTTTTTCATACTTTTGGATGTCATGCACGGATTAATTTGATTTCCATTATTTCTTATGGGGAAAATTAATTCGCATAACGATAATTTCGCATAACATTGAGCTCTCAGGGACGGATTAATAGCGCTATGCGAGGGTCCACTGTATTCATGGTTCAACAAGTTAGGGAAGCAGTATTGTAATATATTTCCCTACAATATATTGGGGCACCAAACATTCACGGTTTTTCAACATTCGCGAGGCTCTTGATCTCCTAACCCTCGCGAATGTTGAGGGAGACCTGTATAATGTATATTGTATAAGTGGACACTCATTGTATTCAACACAATAACTGCACTAATTTGTTTATCATTATATTGCTTACAAAACTTGTTTACAAGTTTATTGTAGACAAAATGATGAAAATGTTAGTGCGGTTATTGTGTTGAATACAACGGTACCATATACATTGAACCCTCGACATTCGATGGCATCGACATTTGATAAATCTGACATTCGATGCATTTTAACGCAAAAATTTCCCCTCGACATTCAATGGAAAACCCGACATTCGATACGATTCGTACGAGATGTGTCCACGTGTGGCCTGAACTGCCCCGTGTGTGCCAGTGTTTACAAGCCAGCCAGTGTGCGCGCATCTAAGAATACATTCGGTACATTCCATATTATCCATATTATCACTGTTTTTGGTGCTTGTTTCTGCAAAATAAGTAACCATGGGCCCCAAGAAAGCTTCTAGTGCTAACCCTTCGAGAAAAAAGGTGCTAATGACTATTGAAATGAAGAAAGAGATAATTGCAAAGTACAAAAGTGGAGTGCATGTGTCAGAGTGCATGATGATTTGGTAAAGAAATTGCCTGCAACTAGTGGTGATGTTAGTGAATTTAAGGCCAGCAAAGGTTGGTTTGAAAGATTTAAGAATCGTAGTGGCATACACAGTGTGGTAAGGCATGGTGAGGCTGCCAGTTCAAGTCCTAATGAAAGGGGATTCCCCTTCTAAACACTAACACCATCCACACACTCCCCTCCTCCCATCCCATCAATCATCACCAGATCTTCATTAAAGGTAAGTGTTAATTATTCTATTGTTATTAATCTATTGTTATTGTTGTTATTGTAATTATTCTATTGCATTAAACTTAATATTTCATGTGGTAACTTTTTTTTTTTCATACTTTTGGGTGTCTTGCACGGATTAATTTGATTTCCATTATTTCTTATGGGGAAAATTAATTCGACTTTCGATATTTTCGACATTCGATGAGCTCTCAGGAGCGGATTAATATCGAATGTCGGGGGTCCACTGTAGTACTATATGGTACAATGGTGCTATAGGGTGCAATGGTACCATATGGTACAGTGGCACCATATGGTGCAATGGCACCATATGATGCAATGGTACCATATGGTAGAATATGGTACAATGGCACCATTTGGTACAATGGTACCATATGATACAATGGTACCATATGATGCAATGGTACCTTATGGTACCATATGGTGCAATGTTACCATATGGTTCATTGTACTATATGGTACTGTTGTATTCAACACAATAAACACACTAATATTTTCATCATTATTTTGTTTACAATAATTGTTTACAACAAAAATATGCCAAAATGTTGTATATTACTAATGTTCTATTATGTGTTTACAAATGTACAGCCACTCGGCATGTTCCTTGAGGTGGATGACAAAGAGGTTTCTTGGAAACTGCCAAGTCACTAGCTAGCTTGCGTCTTCACTCAGTCTTGCCTGGTGCCTGGTGGCAGCAACGTCTGTAACTGACTGTATGGTACATGGTATCATATGTTACAGGGTACCATATGGTACATTGTACTACTATATGGTACCATACAGTACAGGATACCATATGGTGCAGGGTACCATATGGTACAGGGCACCATATGGTACAGATACAGGGATCCTTATGGAAATAAGTCACCCTGACTTGTTTGGGTTATCCTAGGATTTTATACATATGCTGCTGTGTATGATAATCTATGTAACTGTATTTGTGTACACCTGAATAAACTTACTCAAGCACATGTGGCATCGTAAGTTTATTTAGGTATACACAAATAAAGTTACATAGATTATCATACATAGCAGCATATGTTTGAAGAACCTAGGATAACCCAAAAAAGTCAGAGAGACTTATTTCCATTAGGGTCCCTGTACCCTGTACCATATGGTACAATGTACCATATGGTATAATGTACCATATGATACAATGTACTATATGGTACATTGTACCATATGGTACCATTGTACCATATGATACCATTGTGTGACATGGCACCATTGTACCATATTGTACAATGGTACCATATGGTTCAAAACCATACAATTCCTCTTCAGATCCACTTCTGTCAGTCTTAGAACTGTAAGTTCTGAAGTGGAGAGTCAGAATTCGCCCGGAGAGTGAGCGGGGAGTGAGAGCTTCCTTGCCGCCAGGCATGATGAACAAAGCACTTTGGCGGCGTTCCCACAATGCCATGCGGGCATCCAGATTTTTTCTATAATGCACACTGACCACCCAGACCCATTCTCTCAGATGTAGGCCTACCAGCCTTCTTGCGCTAAATTTGACACCGCTAGAATTTTGGCGTAGATCTACGGTTTGGACCCTCAACATAAAGCCGCAGATCTACGGCACGGACCCTGAAAGGGTTAACATCGTAAGGCGGGGGTCTACTGTATTTTTGCGCCAGATGCCACTGGCTGCTGCTGTTATGAAACAAGCTCCTCTTTGATAGTCCCACCTTTTATTTCTTGCATTAACTGACTCCCTATCTTTCTGCCAATGTCTTTTCGTGGACACCACCACTTCTCCCTTTCTACCCTTTCTTTCACCTCTGCTATGTAGAGCTGTATGACCTTTATGGGTTAGTGATTTCCATGAATATAATACACTGGAACCTTGGTTGTCGACTACATTACTTGCCAAATCAGTTTTCGAATGAGGAATTCGATAAAATATGTCCTGGTTTTCATACATTCTCTTGGTTGTCGACCTCTTATCCAGCCAATTGACCAGGAAGTCATTTCTAACTTCAAGAAACTCTACACCAAAGCACTTTTTGAAAGGTGCTTTGAAATCACTTCAGAAACAAATTTAACCCTCAGGGAGTTCTGGAAGGACCATTTCAAATTGTGGCCTGACTTTGTGGTATCCAGGGAATTTGAAGGCTTTGAAGATGAGCCTGAGCTAGTAGAGGATATCGTGTCCCAGAGAAAGACCTTGGGCCTAGAGGTGACTGAAGATGATGTGAAGGAGTTGGTGGAGAAGCATAGAACTGAGCTCACCACAGAATAACTTGAAGAACTTCAGAAGGAGCAGCATCAGATTGCAGTGGAGGAGCTGTCATCAGAGGAAGAGGAGGGAAGGGATGATGTGCCCATTGTACTTGTCAGGGAAATTTGTGCTAAATGGCATGAAGTGGAGGAGCTTGCTGAAAATTACCATCCAGACAAAGCAGTGTCCAACTCTCGGACATGTACAGTGAGAGTTTAATGTCTCAATTTAGACAAGTGTTAAAACGGAACCTGAAACAAACTTCACTGGACAGGTTTTTAGTGAGACAAAGAACCAGTGAACCAGAACAGGGTGTTAGTGGTGAAGGGAGACAAAGAAGAGAAACAACACCAGGACAGTTGCCTGACATATTAATAGAAGGCAACTCTCCTTCCGAGCAGTAACATACCCCTCCTGTCCTCCATCTCCTGCTTCCAGTATGCCATTAGCTCTCCTCTGACAGGTAAGAGGCAGTTAAATTTTCATTTACTGTACAGTATTTCAGTTAAAGTTTCTTTTAGTATTCATTTTACAGTTTTATGTAGTAGTACATTTTTAATAAATTATTATATTGTTATTTGCAGTCTGGAATGGATTAATTCCATTTACATTATTCTTTATGGGAAAAAATTGTTTTGGTTGTTGTCCATTTTGGTTGTCGAATCAACATCTGGAACAAATTAAATTTGACAGCTGAGATTCCACTGTAATACTGTAATCAATAATTTTAGATATTTTGGGTCCTTTTGCTTCTAATGAAAGTTTGAACTGTTAAACATCACACAAAACTTAATTCCTGACAGTATCATCACATGAAATATTCCTTTTCACAGGCAACCAGAACCACAAATCCTTGATTATCAGACCCAGCAGTATAAGTTATTACCTCAGATTGCTACCATATTTGGAATACATTTTTCAACCAAGGATGTTTGGGATACATACAATGAAGTTACAGGAAACATTCATGAAGGTAACCTGGATCTTTTGCCTGAGGTTGGTATTTCTTTACTCTTACCTACAAGGATGAACAGAGTTAATAATTATAACTGAAGTTTGTTGTAGAAATCTGATATAATGTGTCAAATATGTTATTTGTTCCATTTTTCACTAATTATGCTATACATAATTTTCCATTGAGAATATAATCTTAATGATAAATTTTTCATTAGAGATTTTTATTGCTTAACCCTTTGAGGGTCTGTTCTATAGTTCTACTGCTTTGAAGCCAGGGTCCAAGTCATAGTACAGGTTGACCATCACTAATGCGGCATCATCGGGACCTGTAGAGTGCCGGACTAGTGATTTTTCAAGATTACAGAGTGGTTAGGTTAGAATACACTTAACCCAATGGCGATATTTACTCATCGGTGATTTCACCCACTTTTGGCCCATTCCATTTTTCCAGCCTACCCAACTCAGTCTACCAAAGTCATAGCTATTTCGCTAGTATTTCTTCTATTCTGTCAATTGAGTACCAGGAACTACCTATTTACCTATTTTAACTTCCCAATAAAATGGTCAGAAAATGGTATTTTGGCCAATTTAACATAAATATAGAAGAAATACCAATTTCAAAATAGGGTCCAGAATAAATAATGCAGACATTCCTCACTAAAATAACATTTTCTCTGTTCATTAGTAATGTTTCCTGGCTTCTCTTATATTACTCTTGCTTTCCATTTTGAATTTTTATTCACACAAAAAATAGAAGATTTACTGTTATGTAGACTACTGCATTAAATAATGTCAAGCCATTTTTGACTGTGTATTAGACTGGCCAGTTGGACATGTATTGGACGGTGACGTCATTTGTTTATTTTTGAACATCGGTAAAAATCAAACATTTTCACTACTTTAGCTCAATTTCAAGGTACCTTCCATCGTGATACCAATCAAAATCATGTCTATTTCTGTAATATATCTTCCACTCTATCAAATGAGACCAAAAAAAAAAACGAGAATACACCCATAAAAACCATACGAAAATACACCGCAAAGTCGCTGTTTTACACCATTTTCATTAATCCATCCATAATATTTTCTTTAAAATTATGTAAGAAACACATTACATAGCATATAAACAAGATACATACACCCACAGAATGATAAATTTCACATAAACATGAGGTGTGGTAGCCGGGCGGAGGGAAAAAATAACGTTTTCCCTGGTCCAGCACCAGAGAAAATGTATCAATCTGGCTTTGACCCAGTCACTCCCCTTAATGCATTCGGCTTTGTTTATAATTCTCAGGATGACTTCTCATCACTTCTCCCTTCATTTATGATGGCATCTAAAGCTAATTGTTAGAAATTATTAAACTTAGTGAACAAGGTATGTTGATGGACCACTTTAAATATCATATGGCTATGTAACCCAGGCAGGCTATACAATGGAGACCACATTGTTAAATGAATTCACCATTAAGTGAGGAGCATACTATAATAGTAGTGGGTTTGTTTCAACCATCTTTGATAGTGTTTTAATGTCACATTTGCACCATTTATAACATTTCTGGTATATTTTTAAATGTTTATACAGTAGATTTCTGTATATTGAAATAAACAGAATAGAGGAAATCAGCTCTAATATACAGTGGAACCTCTACTTGCGAGCGCATCCACGTGCGAGTTTTTCCAAATATACGAGCAGTCAGTGGGTCGATACGTGAGCGAAATTTCCATAAGCGAGCAGACCTCAAAGGAGGTTCCTTGACTCTGGTGAGGGGGCTCTTGCTCTTGATCTAATCTCGCCAATAAAATCCCACGTACCAATGCCCATGCCGGGGACTACCTAGATGGGAATTTCCCAAATTCCTTCTATCTTGTACCAACTGAGCCCACCGAAGTCACCGAGATTATAAAGTCACTTAAAAATGACTCAGGGAATCTGTCTCATGTCCCACCATTATTGTACAAGCGAGCGGCCCATGTCCTTTTGCATGCTATTTCATTACTTTTTAACAAGTCACTAGAAACTAGCACCTTCCCAAAACTACTCAAGACAGCAAGGGTTACACCAATACATAAAGGTGGTGACCCTACAGATTTAAACAACTATAGGCCAATATCAAACTTACCATTGCTGTCCAAAATCTTTGAGAAACTCGTGCACAGGAGACTTCATTTATAACGGCACAAAACATACTCAACCCCTGCCAATTTGGATTTAGGAAAAATAAAAGCACTAATGATGCAATTATAAAAATGCTAGATCTGCTTTACACAGCATTGGAAAATAAGGAATATCCGATAGGAATTTTTATTGACCTAAGAAAAGCTTTTGACACAGTAGACCACTGCATCCTACTCCACAATTTTGACCATTATGGTATAAGAGGCCATGCGCTTGCATATTTCAAATCCTACCTTACTAAGAGGTATCAGTATGTCACCATTAAAGACACAGCCTCATCAACATGGCCACTTGATACTGGACTTCTGCAGGGAAGTGTCCTTGGTCCCCTGCTCTTCCTCGTATACATCAGTGATCTTCCAAACGTATCCCAACACCTGAACCCCATTCTCTTTGCTGACGACACGACTTATGTCATCTCTCACCCTAAACTTGCCACCCTCAACACCATTTTTAACGAGGAGCTGCTCAAAATATCGACTTGGATGACAGCCAATAAACCTACGCTTAACACTGACAAAACCTACTACATTATGTTTGGTAGCAGAGCAGGAGTTGCGCAAATTAACATTAAGATCGACAACACTCTAATTGCCAGACATAATGAGGGCAAATTCCTAGGCCTATACCTCAACAACAACCTGAATGTCAGCACCCATATAAAACGCATAACCAAAAAAGTATCCAAAACGGTTGGGATCCTCTCCAAGATATGATACTACGTACCGCAAAAGGCCCTTCTCACGCTATACCACTCACTTATTTATCCCTACCTCACCTATGCTATTTGTGCTTGGGGATCAACTGCAGCAACTCACCTAAAGCCAATAATAACCCAACAAAAAGCCGCAGTAAGAATAATCACTAAATCCCATCCCTGGCAACACCCCCCCCCCACTCTTCATAGATCTAAACTTACTCCCTGTTCAGTACATCCACACTTACTACTGTGCAATCTACATCTACAGGACCTTAAATTCCAATATTAACCTTGACCTAAAATGCTTTCTTGATAGTTGTGACAGAACCCACAGGCATAACACCAGACACAAACATCTCTATGACATTCCCCTTGTCCGACTAAACCTTTACAAAAATTCAATGTATGTCAAAGGCCCTAAAATTTGGAACACCCTCCCTGAATACTCTAGAACTGCAGACACATTCATCACCTTCAAAACTACCATTAGAAAACATCTTATCTCCATGATACACCCCGTCAACTAATTACATGAATACCACCTGGTGGTTCACCCACTTGACCATAAACACAGAAATATCATACTTAATCTTAAAATAATGAATCCTAACTAGTCATAAGTTGGCCTGTGATACTCCATTACTGAAACTATGTATAGTGCAAAAACAAAAGCATTCACATTGCTAAACACACAAACTTAGTCAATTAGCCATAATACCAACTTACCTCATAATTTGTAATATTTTAAAGTTAAGAATTAATCTAAGTCTGCCTGAAATGCCTAGCCATGCTAGGTGTTCTAGTGGCCTCTCTGTAATTAGTATTTTAAAACATGTAAACCACACAATATCCAAATTTTGTAAACTCAGCGTTGTAATCCTTATAGAGAATAAACTTGATTTGTTTTGATTTGATTTGATTTGATCTAGGGAATTGGATCTCATTTGTTTGTTGGACTAACTTATTGAAACTTGGGCAATGTGTGATGGAAAGATATCGGAGCATAAACAATAGATTCCACTTCTCAGCAATTAGGCACCCCTTAGCGGTATTTTCATATGATTTTTATGGTTGTATTCTCGTTTTTTTGGTCTCATTTGATAGAATGGAAGATATATTACAGAAATAGATATGATTTTGATTGCTTTCACGACGGCAAGTACCTTGAAATTGAGCTCTAAGTAGGAGAAATGTTCAATTCTTTGCCTACGTTAAAGAGTAAACAGATATCCATTCCAATATGCAGTCGTGAATGGGGTGACATTATTTAAACAATTATTGCAATAAGGCAGTAGTCTGCATAACAGTAAATCTATTTTTTTTTTTTTTGAATAAAAATTACAAATTATTAATATTGTTATAATCATAATAATAATAATAATAATAATAATAATGTACATATAAGAATATATAATAATAATGTGCTATATAATACTAATTATAATAATAGACGGCTTTAACCCTTTCAGGGTCCAGAGGCCAAATTTCAGTGTTCACCAGTGTTCAAGAATTTTCAAAAAATAATTTCGTTACTTTTTATGAAATGGTAGAGAATCTTTTTCTGAAGGTAATAAAACAAAAAGTACGAAATTTGATGGAACATTGATGAAATTATGCTCTCGCAAATTTTGATATGTCAGCGATATTTACGCATCGGTGATTTTGCCGACTTTGACTCCCATTTTAGGCCAGTTACCTTATTCCAGTCGACCAAATTCTTAGCTATTTCACTAGTATTACTTCCATTTTATCAATTTAGCACAAGAAATTGCCAACTCAGCTGTTTCAACAACAAAATAAAGTGATTGGAAAATGGTAATTTAGTGCAAAGTTCATAATATTCCAATTTCAAAATAGGGTCCAGAATAAACAATGCAGGTATTCCTTGCACTAAACTAACGTTTCCTCTGTTCATTAGTTATGTTTTCAGGCTTCACAAATGAATTCCATTTTGATTTTTAATTCACATAATGAATTTTTATTCAAACCAAAAAATAGAAGATTTACTGTCAAGCAATTTTGTAATAATTATATAAATAATATCAGCACATTTGTGAACGCATATTAGACCCACCAGCTGGTGTGTATTAGACATGTGAGGTCATTTGTTTACTCTTGAACACCAGCAAAAATTTAACATTTCTGCTACTTTGAGCTCAG